ATTCACACACACACACACACACACACACACACACACACACAAAAAAAAACCGGGGGGGGGGGGGGAAGAAGACTTAACAATACAACTCCTTGAAGTTGATATGACAAGCAAGCAGAAAGGACATTGTTGGGTGGGAGGGGGGAGAGGGAGAAGGGAGGGGGGTTTTGGTAATGGGCCACAATAATCAACCTCATTGTATATTGACAAAATAAAATTAAGAAGAAAAAAAATAATTAAAATAAAATGAAAGGACACTAGACAATAACTTGAACCATATGAAGAAATAAAGATCTCAGTGAGGGTACATACATGGGCAATTATAAAAGTTAGTATCATTGTAACAATGGTAGGTAACTCTACTTTTTGTTTTCTACATGATTTAAGAGACTAATAGCTTTTTAAAAATAAAGAAAAATTCAATTTACACATAGTAGTTTAAAGATTATCTCTTCAATATATATAAATGTTCCCTTATAAACAACTGTATGCTAACAAACTGGAAAATCTAGAATAAATGGATAAATTCCTGGATACATACAACTTATCAAAGTTGAATCATGAAGAATTAGGAAACCTAAACAAACCAATAACGAGTAATGAGATTAAAACAGTAATAAAAAGTCTCCCTTGGTTAGAGCACAGTGTTATAACACCAAGGTCAAGGATTCAGATGCCCTTACCAGTGAGCTGAGCAATAGCAGCAGGAAAAAGTCTCCCAACAAAGAAAAGCCCAGGACCAGACGGATTCACTGCCAAATTTTACCAAACATTTAAAGAAGAACCAATTTTTCTCAAATTCTTCCAAAAAACTGAAGAGAAGGAAATACTTCCAAGTTCATTTTAGAAGGCCAGCATTACCCTGATGCCAAAACCGGAAAAAGATACAACAAAAAAAAGAAAACTACAGATCAATATTCCAAATAATCATAGATGCAAAAATTCTCAACAAAATACTAGAACTAAATCCAACAATGCATTAAAAAGATAATTCACCACAATCAAGTGGGATTCATCCCAGTGATGTAAGGATGGTTCAACATACACAAATCAATAAATGTAATACATACATCAACAGAATGAAGGACAAAAACCATATGATCATTTTAATAGATGTAGAAAAAGCACTTAGTAAAATCCAACACCTCTTTATGATAAAAACATTTAACAAATTAGGTACAGAAGGAATGTACCTCAGTACAATAAAGGCCATATACCACAAACCCACAGCTAATATTATACTGAACAGACAAAAGTTGAAGGCTTTTCCTCTAAGATCTGGAACAAGACAAGGATGCCCCTTTTCCCCACTCTTATTCAACATAGTAATGAAAGTTCTAGCCAGAGCAATAAGATAAAGAAATAAAGGGTATCCAAACCGGAAAGGAGGAAGTCAAACTACATTTACCTGCAGATGACATGACTATATATGCCGTGAGCCGTCCTGCTATAGGGAACAGCATGGGAGCCTGAGTGATACCCCTTGTTCTGCAGGCTTCAAGGGGGTCCCATGTGTGTGGTACGGCTCCATGGAAGTTCTTGTTTGTTCACCTTTGGTTGCTTGACAAGGCTTCCCAGAATTAACAGCCTAACCTTTTGGCTTAGTATGGCTTTGGGAAATTCCCTGGAGTTTCTCAAAGGGCATGTTAAAATACATCAGAATTAACTGGTTTATTTAAAGGGCATTGTCAGTACTAAAGGTGTTTTTGATGCATGTTCCTGGTATGCGTTGGCTCCATTTAATTTTGTCATTTATGTTCCTT